AACCAAATTCACTCATCCATTTTTCATATTTTTCTAAATCTTCTTGAGAAACGCTCTTATTACACCTTTCCACAGCCTCATCAAAATCTGAGGCAGATACAGGTAAATCTAATTCTTCTTTTGGAAGCTGTCTAATTTGATCTGGTTTCAATCCTGCAATTTTCCTCCGCATAGACATCATTGACGCATCTCTGCACAGAATACATAGAATATTTTATGTATTTAGAAATTTTAATTATGTCCTATCGATTATAGTTACCTGCAAACATTTGTAATATCTGCTCCAGAATAACCTTCTAATTTTCTTGCAATATCTGCTAAATTTACAGAAGAATCAACCTTTACTTCACGTAAGTTAATCTTTAGTAAAGCTTCTCTACCTTCATCTGTGTAATGCATATGTACATTAAAAAAGTTCAATAACATAAAATGTATACATATACTTATTAATAATATTATTATAAAACTTACGATTTGGTAGCGGAATATATATACGTTTTTCTAAACGTCTACGAAGGGCTTCATCAATATCCCATGGAAAATTTGTGGCTGCTAATACCATTACCACTTTACTTGGGTCTTCACTGAAGAATATTAGTATTATATTGAATTATATTAGGATATAATTAGGGCAGATCTGATTCTGTATTCACTTTATATAATTAAATGTTTTGCCAATCCATGTAAATAACTTACATGTTTATAATGTATCCTTACCTGTTTGAGCTTATGCCATCCATTTGAACCAAAAGTTCAGACTTTACTCGTCTTGAAGCTTCATGTTCAGATTCAGATCCTCTTCTAGAGCACAGAGAGTCAATTTCATCTATGAATATTGTGCTAGGTGCATAAAATCTGGCCTATATAAATATATTTAATGTACAATATATATGCCAAAAATTTGTAAGATAGATGATGTAAAAACTAAACGAAGTATTAATTCCTTTGGACATTGAACTAAGAAAATTTAGAAAACTAAAAACCTAATATGCAAGTTTAAATATTAAAGTAAAAAATATTATAGAAGAATAATTTTTTTATTATTACATGCTATATTTACCATTTCGAAAAGAAGACGAACAAGTTTTTCTGATTCTCCTCGATACTTTGATGTTAACGTAGAAGACGAAACATTAAAAAATGTTGTTCCACATTCGGTAGCTACTGCTTTTGCGAGCATTGTTTTCCCGGTACCTGGTGGCCCGACCATAAGTACACCTTTCCAGGGACGACGAATACCCTAAAAGAAAAATGTTGACTTTTATAATAACGCGATGTTGTGTATGATAAGGAGGAATACACCTTGCATACTTTAAAAAAATCTGGCATCCACATGGGAAGAACAACTGCTTCTTCTAACAATCGCTTTGCTTCATGCAAATCAGCTATATCATCCCAATGAATATTTGGATTCTTTTGAACAATATCTCTTTCTATAACATTAGATGCAAATTATTTAAGCTTAGTATTATTAAATTTAATACTATTAAAGCAAAAATGACTAAATTGTAAGATACTGTAAGAATGTAGAATGACCTTACTCTCTCTATTTATTTCAATATATAATATTTAATAAGCATACTATTTACAGTATGATCATTACAGTATTACATCACTACAGAGGGATTTTACTTTACGTATTTATTCATAAAAGTAGTGTATTCACATAGAATACACTATTGGTTGCCCTATTGTTGTTCAGCTTCATTTCAAAATTATTGGTGAAAGAATATTGATAAATTCACCAACTTCAACAAAATATTAACAAAAGGATATTATACATAAAATCCCCCTTAGATCTTAAACATAATAACATGAATAATCATATCATGATGTACTGTACCTAGAAGATCTACTAAATCTCTATCATTTCCAGAAGGCTCAAATTTGCGTTCCTCTACCTCTATATCTACCTTTTCACTTTCTGGCTTTTCCTGTGAAAAATATTTATACACTATGATAGCACTACATCATACACATACATTTCTTCTGTAATGAAAAAATAAACTAACTTTATTGGCATCATCCTTCCTGGACACTTTTCTATCATCTCTTTTAATAGCTTTCGTATCTGGTTTTTTTCCTGCAGTAACTGATTTTCGTACACTCGTCCGATTCTGTTGTTTTGGTTGATTTTTTACTGGTCTAATGTTCCTAAAAATATAATTCTTCATGTTATTATCTTTCATATTGTTGTACGTGATATGTTTTCTTTATCTAAGGTCTGTCTCTGAAATTTAATATTATAAATCAAAAAATTATATAATTTACTTTTGTTCTGTAGGTGTTAAAGGTGGCCATACATCTGGATCCCTTACTGGAGCTTGGCTCCAAGATGTATCTGAATTATTAAAAGTCCATAAATTTGGATCTCTTGTAGGTTCTTCAAAAGATAAACATGGGGTTCCTAAACATTTGAAATTTTTTATTTTATTTTTATAATGCTTTTATTGTCAGATATGAAAATGTATTATAAACAATGGTAATAACAATACCAAACAGTTTTTCTCCATGAGCTTCTAATTTAAAAAGTTGCAAAGTATTAGATGTAGCCTTTACTTTTTCAAATTCTTGAACAATTTGATGTTGAACGAGCTGCCATTTGGCTTTACGTGTGGCATCTGCGATACTTGCAAGTAATCGATGGATTTGCTGCACAACACCTTGGTAATAAACTCCAGAGGTATCATAATTACCGGTTAATGCCATTTCACGGGCTAGTTTAGTATTTTCACATATTTCATTGATTGAAATTGCCATAATTCTATCAAAATATAAATGTATGTTTATACAGAATAATTGTATTTAATTGTATGAAAACCAAGAAACATACAATAAACCCTGTAAGGAACTAATAACACAAGAAGCATATGTTTGGATAGCTCTATAAAATGTTGTACAAAAATAGTATTCTTAGTTTAAACTCCAAACATGGGAATAATGTCGCTTAAGAATAAAGACATGTACTGAATGACAGTAATAATATTTAATGAAGTAAATACAATTGTTCCGTATACACGACGAATTCTACACTTTTCATAATT